CACCATTTTGTAGAAATTTGATTAATGGCCACTATGAATAAGTATAAGCCGTTGAATCTTTTTCTGCTTTTGGAAATATCCTTGAATCACATATTTTTATGGAAATTTAGACCATTTATAACGAGATTACTTGTAGGTCTTTAGTTCGGTTTGTAACGACGTATGTTAATAGAAAAATATCCAGATTTTATTCTACATATATACTACTGGTGTGATTTCAAAAGTTAGGCGTTAATTGATCGAAACAAAAGTTTGGGCTTGATTACTATTGTTTTGAAAAGATGGCGCTCTATTTGTAATAGTAAAAAAAGTGCTAAGATTCCCCGAGGCCCGAGCCTAATTAACACTGGGTCTCATGTGGGCTAGAATCTTATTATGAGCTCGAGTCTTATTAACATTGGGCATATGGGCTCGAGTATCATTACCATTGGGCCTCATGTGGTTCAACTTTAGAAGCTTATCCAAATAGGAATTACAGTTTTTTTTTAAATAAAAAATTAAATTTATTATATACACACATTATTTTCCTTAAATATAATGAGCTGGGCCGGTGGGTACTGTGGCCCATAACACGACTGTAGATTATGTCAACGATTACCTTAAGCTGAATTGTGTTTATTTAGGACAAATACTGTTAATTGGAGTTCGGCCCAATTGTCAAATTTATTTTTATTCATTTAGGCCCATACTGGTATGGGCTGTAGCCCAATACTTACTTGAGTAGGGTGAATATTTCCATCCCATAAATAACATGGTTATATTCCATTTAAACACTGATTATGATATTTTTTTAAATTAAATTAATAAAATTGAAACTTAACCTAAACAGAATATTAAATAGCTTAAAAATGATAAGATTTTATCACAGATATTTGTGTTTGCTTTTTGTGAATGAAACCTATGCAAATGGTGAGATGCTGATGTTGTACAATCAGTGAGTCACTATGCATTGTGATATCCTTTAGAACATATGTTTTCTTTTTTGTTTGATTTTTTTTTTGGGTAGGCAAAACATTAGTTAAGGCACATGGTCACAACATCATTAGTAAAAAACAATATTTCTTGAATATTCAATATATATGCACATTATAATATCCTTTAGAACATATGTTAGCCCATCAAAATTTAAAAACAAATTCTTAAATATCTATAAGGCATTTCCTTAGCATTTCATATATTTCTACATTAGAACCTTCATTTACTTTATAATGCAAAATTACAAGAGTAGGCGGGCGAATACACTTCCTTCTCAATTTGATTCTTTTGAATTTTCAGTCTTAATAATAAATAAATAAAAATTCACCTCATAAATAAAACTAAAAAAGATGCAGAAGAGATTCTGAAGCAAGGAGAAGGGCGAAGCAAAGCTTTTTGACAAACGCCGCGTCAGTGTCCGCAAAGTTCCAAACAGCAAAACATACTTTTTCTCCATGGAAATTGTGTTATCAGTCTCCAACAATGAAATTATGCTGTCTGATTAATGTTTTTTTTATAACCGGACAAAATTTTATCAATTTAACATATATACAATTATTTTTCTATTTACCATCACGTACGGATGAACGAACATTCTGTTTCTTTATGTTTTGGTTAGTTCTTTGTTGCATCTATATGTCTAATTAACTATTACATTTATTACTAATGATGTCGTGACAATGTGTCCTCAACTTTTATAAAAGAATAAAGAGTTCAAGATATAAGATGTATAAAATTATAGAAGGATATTAGTGTAATTACCCACTTGTGTAATTAATTAGGATTAACTATATTACTCCCTCCGTTTCAAAATAATTGTTGTTTTAGTTTATTTCACATTTTTTAAGATAAGAGAGAAAAAGTCATATATACCCTTATTTAATGATAAAAATAATGTTATCATTAATACTTTATTAGAATTTGATAGGGATAAAATTAGAAAATATTGTAAAAAAATGTCTTGAAAATATAGAATGACAAATATTTTGAAACATGAAAAATAATCTAAAACTGCAAATATTTTGAAACGGAGAGAGTATTATATATGTATATATATACATATTACTCTTGTCACTAATAGTTAACCAAGAGCATTCTGGTTGTACAACTAATAGTCTATAATACACTGACATATGTAAAAGATATACTAAATAAATATATATTATTTTTTAATACAACAAGAATATTTGACACGCTATATTCCGATTGTCTATCCTAACAAAACTTTAAAGTTAAGTATGGTCGTTCTAAAATAGTTTTAGGATTTGTGATCTTTTGGAAAATATTTTTGGAAAGTGTGTAAATGCGTTGAAAGTAGGGGTGGCCAATTCGGGTTTCGGTTCGGGTTCGGTTCGGTTATATTCGGGTTCGGTTATTTCGGTTATAGAAAAACTATAACCATTCGGTTTTTATATAAATTCCGGTTCGGTTCGGTTCGGTTATTTTTCGGTTCGGGTTCGGTTCGGTTTTGGTAAAAAGTTCAATTTTCCAAAGAAAATGTCGGTTATTCTCTTAGTTTTTTCGGTTATTTTTTATTCGGTTCGGTTCGGTTTCGGTTTCGATTTTTCGGATTTAAGTAAATCATAACCGTTCGGTTTTGATGTCGGGTTCGGTTCGGATACGGTTATGTCTTATTCGGTTCGGTTCGTTCGGTTCGGTTTTGGTAAAAAGTTCAATTTTCCAAAGAAAATGTCGGTTATTCTCTTAGTTTTTTCGGTTATTTTTTATTCGGTTCGGTTCGGTTTCGGTTTCGATTTTTCGGATTTAAGTAAATCATAACCGTTCGGTTTTGATGTCGGGTTCGGTTCGGATACGGTTATGTCTTATTCGATTCGGTTCGGCTCGGTTATTCGGTTAATAACCGAAATGGCCACCCCTAGTTGAATATACATCCTATAAATATAAATATCATCCAATATATTCATCCTATATTTTTGGAAAGTGTGTAAATGCGTTGAAAAGTCTCGTATTAATCGGTGAGAGTAGTAGTTTCGACGTCCATAACATTCACGGGGCGTTAGAGTGTCTATATATCATATAGGATGAATATATTGGATGATATTTATATGTATAACCAACAAAGGGGCAAAGAGGCATGGTCATATGGTCCCTCATGCCTCAATCAACACGAACATGATCAACCCCTACGGGAAATATAGACATATACATACAAGGTTGCTCACGAATATAATTGTTACAAAAATGTTGTCAGCGACCAATCAGAAAATATTGGCAGATGTTCTATGTTCCCTTTCGCATGTGATGACAATGTCCTCTCCCTCATGTGAATCCCACATGACACCACCATGCATCGTCATCAAATTTGTCATTTCATGTCTTTTTTGTTTTAATCGGGCTAGTCCATAACGGATACATTTATAAACTTGTACATTTCATAATGAATATTCATGTGTGTATACTATGGCTCCTTTCTTCACTTCCATCTTAGGATTTTTATTAGACGAATTGAATTATACTCTCACCATTTTTAAATAAATATCGTTTTAGATTTTTTTTCACAATTCTTAAAAAAATATAAAACAAATCATATATACCTTCGTTAAACCACATTATCGTTCGTTAGATACATATAATTAAAGATAAAATTAGATTTTTTTAAACCACTTAGAAAATTTAAAACGAAAATTATTCAGTAACTCAAGATATTCTTTAAACCCACATATATTTAGAAAAAAACTGAGGGAATATTTGATTATCTCCGGATATAAAATTTTATGAATTAAACGAACGCTATGCAAGCAACATATGCAAAGGGTACGCTAATGACGCAGATAATTACAGTAATCATTACCAAATTAAACATTGTCAGATGAAAGATTAGGTTTCTCATTAAAGCAAAAATATATGATTAGTGGAGATCGGTCATGTCGGTTGCCTAACCCAAAAGCCGCTTCATCACAACCTCGTAGACGAACTGAATTTATAATAATAATAATAATAATAATAATAATAATCTGAAACCATAATTGATGTGAATGGTACCGATTATATCGATTACTCAATTTCTAATTAATTTAGATATTGTCATAATTACGCCTACAAAATTTCAAAAAGGCGATTTTTTCACTTTGAATTACTTGCAAGCAACTCCTCCCTCTCCCTACCGACTTCCTTGATTTAGTCGAACAAACTAGAATTACATTTTTTTTGCATGTGTGAATCGATTTTAAATTTCTTTATTCTGTAATTGATGTTTTTTCATACGACTACACCACTAGCTTTTTTTCCAAATTAAATAAAAGTATTCATATTATAGATAATGTCGTATAAATAGTATTTTATATTTTCCTTTTCAATTTTATTTATCCTCAAACATAGATTATTTATTTGAAAATATGATTTGATCTATTAAATCAGCATTGAAAAATATGAGTGTATTCACATAATCGAAGTATATAAACATAAAGGAATATTATATTTCGGATTGGGAGATATATATGTATATAGCGACAGTTTGATGCTCTCCGTATGCTGACGTGGCCGTGTGTATGCATATATCCACTCGCCTTTTGACTTCAGTGAGGGTCTTCGTTGACCCACAAAGTCGTTTACGTGAAATCACTGCGCAAGCAATTAATGAACTAATTTTTCATTTTCTTTGAATAAGAAAAACCGATATTATTTTCATTATCTTTTTTTTTGTTAAAATATTATTTTCATTATCTTCTTTTTTATTTCGTTTTAAGCTCATTAGCTTTGTTCCCCCCCCCCCCTCATTTATTAGAGCATCATTCATTAATTTAATCTGTAATGACGTTGTCATTGGATTCGCTTAATGCTATTTTAATGAGTTAATAATGTAATTATAAATATAAACACTCGACAGTTATGGAAAGGTCGGTTTCCCGACAGAACTAATGAGAAGATTGGCCGGACACGAATTACGGTCTTCCAACCGGAAATATCGCCGTCACTTTCTTTACACGTGGCATTTTTCTCCATAATACGAAAATCTATGATGAAAAAAAAGCTTATTTTTTAATTTATTTTTATTTGAATACGACTATAGACTCTGAGGCTGATATTACAACTGAACGACGACGACGAAGCGAAATGCCACTGCATATCCGTAGCCAAATTCAAACGCGTACAGCGTACGGACTGAGTGCACTTTCTTCTACAAACTGGACCAAAATAATCCTGGTAAAAAAAAATTACATTTTGAAACCACTCGTAAATTACATGCATGACCAAAATATTTATTACACTAACAAGAAAGATATGATTTTAGAAGGAAAAAAATAAAGAAAACCAGACTATCGTTCCTCGGCTTCACGGTCGTGAAACGACAGCCGGAAAACCCAGTTAGAGACTGTCATTTTCCTCAAACTCCTTAGTCTTTGATGACTATTTTGGATTTTTGTCGTTGATCCATCGTTTGAATTCGATTCAACGAATCTCTTCAATCTCTTCAGCGCTAACTTCAATGTCTCCTCGCTCATGTTAGCGAAGCAAACCCTAAACCAGCCCGGTTCGTTGCAGTGGCAAGACGAACCGGGTGAAATATTCAGCTTGACGTCGTACACGATCTTCTTCCACAGCTCCATTTCGGATTCGAACGTGTTCAAGGTCAGGAGATGTCTCATGTCGACCCAACAGAACAAACCCGCGTTGCTCTTTAGGCATTTGATTCCAACCGATTCAAGACCCGACATTAGTTTCCTTTGTCGGGTCTTGAGCCTCCTTTGATTCTCTTTGAGATAATTCTTGGTGAAATTCTTGTCGGATAACATTGCGGATAAAAGATACTGTGTCTGAGATGAAATTAAGCCGAAACTGGACATTTTCGTGGCCGCAGCCACGACAATGTCATCGTTGGAGTAAATGGCTCCAACTCGAAAACCAGGTAGGCCTAGATCCTTAGACAAGCTGTAAACAATGTGAACTCTTTCGAAAACATCGGTTTCGAGGTTTCTGTCTTTGAGAATCTCCATTATGCTGATGAAACCGGGAGAGCTAAAAACAGTCCCGGAGTAAATCTCGTCGCTTATCAAATGTATGTTCTTCTTCGAAATGAAGTCCAGGAGAAGGTTCAGTTCGGTTCGCGTCATGGTCGTGCCCAAAGGGTTAGACGGGTTCGTGACCAGAACCCCTTTAACTTTAAGATTAAGTTTGTGGGCATGTTCGTATGCTTCATCGAGTGCAGTTTGAGTGATGCGGAATTCGTTCGAGCTCGAGCACTGGATCGGTACAATCTCAACCCCGGTTCGCCATTTGAGATCCCTATCGAATCTGCGTTGTTTTCGAAATAAAGAAATGATTTGATAGCGTACGTTTCCATGCAGATGCATAGAATGAGGGATACGCTGCTTGAGAGTGAAGCAAGCGGGGAAAAAAAGAGAAGATAAACGTATAATCTGATTAAAAGGATTAAAAAGATATTAAAAAAGTATATATACATATGTATATATGTATATATACTAACCCTGGATAATATGGCGTGGGAAGCAAGAAAGCGTCTCCAGGTTCGGCGAGACAAAACATGAGAGTTTCGTTGGCGGAAGTCGCTCCGGCAGTGAGGACGAGCTTGTTTGGATCAAAAGAAACTCGGTTTCCTCTATTTTCGGACATGAACTCCGACAGTGCCTGGAAAAAAAATATTCACAAAAACGACCGTCAAAAACCCACTTGTAAAGTACGATTATAAAAAGAGTAAATATTACCAACGTAAAGTTTGTGATAATAAATAAACTCGATCGACCGAGCCATGCATGTGTGTGATCTTACATTTTTGAAGGAGGGGAGGCCATGATAGTCCTGGAAGAGAGCAAGTTCCCTGAAAATGGACCGGCCATCTTCCTTGAACCCGGCCGCGTCAGGATTCTTTGCCAGCCATGACTCGAGAAGATCGAATGAAAGCTGAAAGAAATCACCCAACCAAAAGATTAAGAAACTATACAAGACCAAAATTTCAACACTCGTATATGTATGTGTGTGTGTGTATATATATATGTATCATTATCACATGTACGTATCAGTTACCTGATTTTCAGCGAGACCCATCTGGATAATGCCCTTGGGGTTCTTGATTTCGTCGTAGGGGTTCTTCTCGTACTCTTGCCACCCCAAGAAGTATGAAGAATCTTGACCGTGGGAATTGCAGGCTGCTTTTCTTGACAATAGACCCATCTCCTCTTATCTTTTCTCTATGTACAAATTCAAGAACTAGAGAGAGAAACGAAAGGAGTTTCAGAAATGAAGAGTTTAGGTGAAGAGAGAGAGAGAGAGAGAGAGAGATTTGTGTGTTGTTTTCTTGATTGGAATTTTTGCTGGTTTGTGTTGTTGTATGCTACGATGAGGTCTAAGCATGTGGAGTATGTATGCGTATATATATAGTTTTCATTCTTAGCCCACGACAGGATCGGTACCAACCGGAATTTTGACCGGCCAGACATTGGAATTTACTCATTCTCCAATTTTAATTATTCTTTTGTATTTTCATTTATTTAAATTGGTGTGTTATTAAATAAAATAATCAATGGTTCCACGCGCTTCCACCGTCCCTGAAACATACGTAATTCAAGTCCTTTCCACTCAATAGTTAATACTCCCACAAGGGTATGCTTCACTCCCCTCTAAAATCGCGTGGGATGATGTGAATTCCAAGGTATTTTTTTTTCCTTTCTTTGTTTAATTTTGTATAATAAAAAATTATCAAACGAATAATATAATTATTTGAAGATTTGGAAAAAAATAAAAGAGAAATTGAAAAAGATGGCGTAATTGGGATGCCATACCGACAGGAAATCTGCATATAAAATGGGTAATGTGATAGTGACCCACAGAAATTTATATAAAAAAGACAATAAAAAATGTCAATGTTACATGGGATTATTGGACCGTCTTAAAGTTGGTCCACGTTGCTCCCTTGTGGTACCCTTCCACATCTCTACATGTTGCAAAAAAATGTCGGCCCATTTTCCTTTTTCTTTTTTTCCAAAAATATTCTCTTCGTTTAATTAAGTTCAATATTTCCTGCAGTAATATATATATCTTCGTTAAAAAAATATATATATATATATCTGAAATTTCAGCTTTTTTTTTAACCCGCTTCGTGTAAGAAAAAATGGTGGAAAATACACGAACCGATAGAAATTTCCCCCCTTGGGCTGCATATATATGTAAGTTAAGTATTAGATAATACTCAATTTTGTAACATTTGGTATTATTATCTACATATTTATAATTTTATACAGCCGTTTATATACATTAACACGCAGCGATCGTGTATATATATATATATATGAAAAATGGAACGAAAAACAACATATAGTGCCCTTGAAATTTAAAATTTAGATTAACACAAAATTACCTACAATCGAAACACTTTAATTCCTAAATACCAAAAAAGAAGAGAAAGCGTAAATATATGTTTATATAATATTAAATGTAATGGGAACGGGAGAAAAAAAGATATATGAACGAAGATCAGTTAGTTCTTTCGCCGGAAACGTGTCGGAATAAATCATCCGGTTCGTGTTGGTTATGCCATCAATTAATCAAATTGAATTAAATACAAAATCTATTTTAGGGAATACTTAAGTATGATTTCTGATTTTGTTAGAGATGCCAAATCCCATTTCCCCTTCTCATTCCGATATTTTCTTTCCCATTTCATATTCCAAATCATAAAAGTATATTGGACCGTTAGATTGTATATTCATTAAGGTTAGTAATCATATCATATGCATATATATTATATAGTTAATTATTCAAACAATTATTATCCCTCAACAACTTACTAACCCATTAGCCCGCCATTAGTTTGTAGCTCCCTGATTTAGGAGTGTCCCATTGTAAGCATGTCATCATCATCCCCACATGGATCATCACCATCTTCGATGTTAAAACTCATTACACATCTCATCTATTCAAAGTTATTATCATTTTTATTAATTAGGTAATTATTCAAAGTCGGGTTAAAAATAGTGGTAGATGGAGTTTCTCTTTAATTAATTTTACATTATTATTATTATTATTTGTTATTTGAGGGGAACAAATTATCAAAGTTAGGTAAAGTGTTGTAAGGGCATGATGGGAGCATTGGCATCCCGATTTCGGAGACCTCCTTTTGGGTTTTGCCTTCTCTTTTTGTAGAGAAATGAATAAAAACAATGTCAAAAGATTTATATTTTTAAATTTGAAAATCAAAATACCACACGAACGAGAAAGTTAAAAGAAAAACAGGAAAAAAGTTTGAGAGACAGATCATAATCACATACCTTTTTGCAAGTTTCTTCCTGCGTGTTGAGTGGTGTGGATTTTTTTTTACATACGTATAATTATATTTGAATCGAATCTTCATACAAAAAAATTATATTAGATATGATTTTTTAAGCACAATTTATTGAATGTTAATTAAATAAAAAAAATATGAATAAATTGAATGTAGGTGAATATTTTTTAAAAATATATGTTTTTTAATAAAAATTAAACCCGAATGAAAATCGAAGAATATTTGAATCCCACTGAAAATTGATATAAAATTGGGTAGATATATTTTTAGAAAACCAAAAAAAAAATCGTAATCGAAAACGTTGAGTGGAAATATAATTCAAACCCTAAATATCCATAGCTATCTAAAAATGATTGAAATCAAAATAAACGAATAAGTGTTTTTGTTATATGTACATGCAGAGAGAGAGAGAGAGAGAGAGAGAGAGAGAGAGAGAGAGGGAAAATCTATTTTTCTTTATCTCAAAAAACAAGGAAAATTAAATATCGAAAGAGCCATATAACAGAGGGTTTTAGTGTATAATTTTAAATTAATTAAGGATGATCACAAAAGGGGTCGAAAAATATTTGATTCGCCTGAAATTGCTCTTAGCTTTTGAAAATTTCATAATATCTTTATTTTCGTTTTTTATTTTTTATTTTTTTAAATACGTTTGTTACGAGTTGCTTCGGTTCTTGCCTTTTGACGAGCAGAGTATATTTTCGTAATCAGCCTTTTTGACAATCGAACACAATGTTCGTTCTTCTCTTGTACGGTCTCGATGTTTTTTCCATGACGACGACCTAACAGTTTCACAAATGTGTATGTATAGGTTCTATATATATGCAGTTTCTATAACCATCTGTTAATTAATTATAGGTTTTTATTGTGAGATATAATTTGGTATTCAATATGATACACGACAGATTAATAACTTTGTATAGACACTTGCTTTAGCCAAAAAAATAAAATAAAAATGCACGTATCATTTCCTTTATCAAAATATATAATTTTCTATAAAATTATATCTAATTACCATTTTATCGAAATGTCATTTCTTTTATTTTCTGTAAATAATCCTTTGAGTTTTTTTGCTTATTCAACTATCAATGTTGACAAACCTCTCTCTCTCTCTCTCTCTCTATATATATATATATATATATATATATATATATTAATATGTATATATATGTAAGTGATGTATTAAAATAAATACATAAATAAAACAGATAATGGGAGAATTAAAAATAGATCAAGACAATAAATATGCTCGGCTCGGCGCTCGTGTAGTTAGCTCGAGCTTTGACTGATCGACCTGTCAAAGTAGACAACGAGATTTTACTTGCAGGAATCGACGACTTTCATATAACCCAAACAGATGGTCCAAGATTTAATAATTTCGAATTTAATCGAGTAAAATATTAAAAGAGACTTTGAAATATATATACACGTCCAAAGTTCACGATGTATTAAAACAAAAATTTTAATTGAGCGTCCTTTTGGGACATGAATATTAAAGCACCGGGAAGTTAATTACAAGGTACATATATATATGCAAAGACGATATATAATTATAATTTGATTAGGTCTTAATTAGCATTAATTAACAAGGGGGGGCTATATAGGGCCCCTCTATATTGCTTGGGAAGAAACAATTGGGTCCTATATTTCTCCAATATGCTAATTTGATATGATTTTTTGATGCACTCTGTGTCCTTTAAGCTGAACACAACCAAGTGACTAGTGTGACAAAATTCAAGACAAATATCACAAATAATACGTCCAAATATTACAAGTTCCAAAGCATATAGTAACCCTATATATATATGTCTAATTAGCTAGCTTTCAGATTTTTTTTATAAAAAAAATATATGAATTATATTCACAATTTGCTTATTTATATCAAATTGAATAAATACCTCGTTTTTTTTTCAAACGATCGTCTAGCATGCTCATTTAAAGTTAAATCAAATGTTTATGATACCCGTGATGTTCCACAAGGGATGAACAGTAGATGGGGGATTTATTGGGCATGTGAAAACCCTTGTTTACATGTCCCCACTATATATATATATATGTGTACATATAATATGAATGGAAACATTATTCCATATGGAGAGTTAAGGTTTTATAGTATATGCCATTTATATGAATGTTGAATCGGGGGTCCAATGGAGTGACAAGTAACATGACGTTCACGTTGTCCGGCTCCTCGCAGAACTTCCTAGGAGAGACCTCGATGGACCATTCTGCTTCGCCCCTTCCATAACGTAGGGACCCTTCTCCAATCACATTAACCCTATCCCTCCATCTCCCCCCTCACTTGACCTCTTTTGTCTCTTTCTCCCTGCTAAAAACAAAACCACCATATTTGTTTTAATTTCCTTTTTTCTTTTTTCTTAAATATTCTTTCTCGTATTAATTCGTTTTTTGAAAAAACGATATCTATATACTCTATCCGTTTAGTTTTACATGACGTTTTAGAATAACTTTTTTGTTTCAAAATAAAAGATGCTTTTAGCTACGTCGGGGCACCATTGCTTGGAGGAAACTCTGTTGTAGTTGAACTCTTGTGCAGGTCCAAGGTCTGTCAAGTATATGATTTTACTTCTTTTTCAGGCCTCTATATACATGATATGGACGGAAAGGAACTCGAGAATCCACCGATCTGAGTCTCGGCCAGCTGAGGTGACTCGTAAGGACGTTATTCGGTTCACTCGACGGAAGCTTTCCTCGGTTCAGGCCGATTTATCACCTCCCGCTGCAGGGGATACTATCATGTCTTTTTGGTTCCGTAACTTTGATCCTTTATGATGTTTGGCTCCTGAACTTTTGGCTCATTAGACTGATGTAACTTAAACTCTCTTCGTTGTATCTTAGCAGTTGTATTTAATAGAATTTACCGTTTACCAAAAAAAAAAGATGCTTTTACATTTCTCATATATTTTTCGATATTTGTTTTCTCAAAGTTACCGTTTATCAATAATAATCAAATATTATCCACGTTTCAAGATAATAATTTCTACGCATTAAATAAGGGTATTTTGGAAACAATCATATTTTTTAAA